ATATATATATATAAGCAAAGGCTTCAGCTTCATAGCTCTCACAGCAGGTCATCCCCAGGGCAGCCTGGACGCAGCTCCCTCTGTGGCAGAAGGTGACAGACAGTTCTTCTCTGTGAGGGCAGAGGGGGAAAATCCTGAGCCACCCTGCACCAGGAGATGGGGGCAAACCTGCCCATGGGCAAGCAGCAAGGAGGGTGAAGTGGTTCAGGGGTCCATCATACCATGTCCTGTCCTTTCCCCAAGCAGGACTGCTGTCTCCCTCCCTCTCTTTGAGGGTGACCCATCCCACCAAGCACAGCAGGTCACAGGAACCCAGTGGCCCTGACCATCGGGGTTCAGGAGCAGGAAAGTGCCACTGGTGTCACTCCCAGGGATCCCTTTCAGACTTACTGGCTTAGAGGAGGTTGCATGCACGTTTCTTCGTCCGGGTGGGCTGCGGACAGAGGACTGCTCGAATGGCCTCATCAAACACTGTCTTGAGGCCACGCTGCGTCAAAGCCGAGCATTCGAGGTATTTCACGGAGTCTGTCGGGAGGAAAGCAGATGCTGTAATGGGGAGGAAGGGAACTGGGGTAGGCGGTGGGGGTACCCAGGAGTCTGCTGCCAAGGATACTCGGAAGAGAAATGTGCAGGAGGAATACCACAGATCATGTCAAGCAGAAAGAGTTGCCTGTGCCTGTTTCACCAACACATTTCTGGCTCACATCACTTCACAGCCACAACACCCTGCTCCCTCAGTGCCCATTTTACAGTGTCCTGAGGCACATACACACCACCTAAACACCCCCTGAGTCTTGTCTTCAGATGAGGTCTCAAGTGTCCTCAGGCTTCAAGCATCATTCAGATTGCCTGGCCTCAAGCATCTCAGGTGGCATCTCAAATCACAGGGCACCTCCCTTTTGGGACTCTGTACCCCCAAATTCTCAGAGACCTTGTGCTGGAAAGCAAGGCACTGACTCTTGCCTGAATTGAATAAATACAGCTCAGGTGATCAAAGCCATTAAACATTGTCAGGACACACTTCGCTCACCCAGGCAGTCTTGACTTCAGGGAAAAGCTTGCCAGCTGTACAAGACCAAGGTTTGTCTGTCCTCCACCCTTGTAGCCAGAGCAAAGCCATCATGTGAGGCTGGCTATGTTGTCCTGGCCAGTCACCCTTTCCTCCGAACTCCTGGTTGAAAACTTCTCCCTTAAGCTGTCTTTCCCACCCTCTCTCCTGCTTCTGTGTGCTGCATCTGAGAAGAGAGGTTACCTGGAAGAGGCATTTGTGTGTGTCCTGAAGTATGGGAGGGAGCTGATGCCCCTGAGATGAATATTGGGGTAAGATATGCATACCTGGGGTCACATGTATAAACCCCAGTAGTCAGAGACAGGGATGGGAAGCTGCAGTTGCAACTGTTAGAGGCAGGGACGGGAAGCTGCAGTTGCAACCCTTCCTGAGAGATGTTAGAAAACTCACTCTTCCGCCTCTTTCCGGATGTGGAGGAGAGGCCTCTGCCCACACAGCAGCTGTGGCTTTCACAGAAAAATATTGGCCCAGTTAGAAATAGCGGAGTAAAAGAGGAGGGGAATGCGCAAGTGTACGTTTGTGTGTGTGTGCGCGTGTGGAGGATGGTGGCCAGAGGGAGGCAGAAAACAGAGAGTTGAGGGGTTGAGGCTTCCTCAAGGAGTAGATCTCCTTCCTGAGTCTCCTGAAGTGCATTTTGTCCCATGGCCCTTGATGTGTCTCCTTGTGTCCCTCAGAGATACCACTGTGAGATATCTCTACAAAAGCCTCAGTAGGCTGAGGCGAAGCCCTTATCTTCTGCCTTTTTCCTTTCAGTAGGTCCGAGATGTTGCCCCAAGCACATACCGATTTCCTTGGCCAGAGCAAGACCCTGAGGATATGTAATGGGGGATAGCTTCTTCTCCTTCAGCTTCTCAATGGTGTCCTTGTCGTCACGAAGATCCAGCTTTGTGCCCACCAGGATGATGGGAGTGCTAGGGCAGTGATGCCGCACCTCGGGGAACCACTAGCAAGGGAGCGAAATGGTAAAGATGTGAGATGAAGTCACACATATGAGCACGCACAAAAGAAGCAAAAAGGCATCCCTGAAAAAATGTCAGCAAGACAGCTAACATGCTGTCCTTTCTCACAGCCCTTCCAACCAGGGTTAGGCACTATAGCCTGGCCCAGGTCAGCCCTTGTTACTGGGTCCTCAGGCAAAATCCCTGACATCGAGTTCAAATTCTGTTAAGCAAAAGCATAAGCTGCTCTCCACCCTTCGTGGCTCCCTGAAACCCAGGGAGGAACCTGAAAGTGGTAGGAAGGAAATACTGTGTTGTTCTCAACTCCATCAATCTCTCCGTTCTTCCCTCATTTCCCATCCAAAGGCTGTGGGTACTTGCTTCTTATACCCTGTGGACTGGTCCTGCAAAAGTCTTGGCTGAAAGATGCCCTCAGAATATAAGCCTGTGGTCTCACAGCTCAATAGCCCAGTAAGGTGAATACTAGCCGCTTGATAAGGTTGGCTGCCTTCTTTGAGGAGGCTGATATTTTAGTTCCTTCTGACTGACACAAAAAAGATATTACTTGTCTGAATCTAGACATCCTATTAGCAGTTTCCATCCACTGTCACTCTCTTTGCAAGACCACCACCAATCTCACCCTCCTCAACCCCTGATGGACCAGGATACTCTGTCTCACCTTAGCACGGACGTTTTCATAAGATGCTGGGCTGACGAGGGAGAAGCAGATCAGGAAGACATCCTGTACGCAAACAACCATGGTGCAGAGTTAGGATGAGAGCATGGGATTGCATGACAGGAGGCAGGAGGGGAGAGAAGAGCTGGGTGGGCAGCATCCTTCCTCTGCAGCAGAAGGTCATGCTAGGGAAAGCTGTCTCTCACAATGTAACAGAGTCCTGACTGCTGTTAATTGCCTCTAGAGGAGAGAAGGATATTTGCTCCCCTGACTCATGGTAACCATAGCCACCATTATCAGAAGAGCCAAATGTTTAACTATGAGGATGGGGTTTTTGCGGTAGGCACACTCATCCTCATGGGAAACAGCCTGACAGCATCCTGCTCATTTCTCACAGAACACCAGAGAGCTTTCAGGCCGGAATAATTTTGCCTGCTGTTGAGACAGAGCGAGACTTCACCCAAAAAGTGCATATGCAGGACACAAATGAGGTGGAGTTTTGGTTATCCACATAAGAGCTTCTCCTGGGCATGGCAGAATTTAGACTTCCATGAAAACCAAACCAAACCAAACCCAGCTCTTCAAGGTTGTATTTGTTTCATCCAAATTCACCTAGCTAAAACGAGGATGTCAGGCCCAGCCTATCCATTTCCATACTTCTACAACCATCAGAGGCAAAAACCTTGGAGAACAGTTCCCCCACCACTCCTTGGGATGTGTCCCAGGGTGGGTGCAAGCATGTTGTTGAAAAATACAACTGCTTGCACTGACTGCAGAAGGAGCCTAGGCAAGCAGCTTGTACCAGATGTCTGACTTTTAGGTGACTCAGCCTAGCTGAAACAGATAGTGCCCTCAATTCCTAGCCCTTTCAGGTGCAATGGCAACCTTCAGACCAACATCTGAGCCAGTAGGGTCTTTCTGAGCTTGCCAAGACACTGCTTGGAACAACATCCTCCAGGGAAGGTGATCCTTAAACCCTGGAATCACTTTCTCAATGTGGTGAAAAACTGGTAAACACAATACCTGAGGCATCCATTTGTTCTGCTAGAGGCTTGGGCTTAGCTGAGGCATCAACAGATCAAATACATGTGCCCACACATCAGATCTCTTTTAAAAGGCAGAAGCCAGAATAGTGGAGTTCGCAGAAATGTGAGAAGCTCCTGCCTCAGCTCCTGAGTTCCCTGAGCCGCTTTAACCTTGCAAAACGAGGGCTTTTTACCAGGGCTGTGGGAGGCATCTGGCCCCCACTGAAATCAGTGTCAGCTGGGCTCATAAACATCTTTGAAGATCTCGGTTTTCTTGCTAAGTTGTACCAATAATGAAGTTTAGATAAAAGCTCCAAAATACCCTTAGATGCCTTTTACCTTTAGGGTTTCAAGGCACTTGTATATCAACAGAGGTATTCTCAGAAAAGGGCAGAGAGACACAGGAGCACTCCTGTCAGTGTTTTATGGCAAATGTTGATTTTTGCAGTGGGAGACAGAGGCATATCTGAGGGATGACAAGAGAGGAGGAGCATGGAGTGTGACTCACCGTCTGCGGGTAAGAGAGCGGCCTCAGTCTGTCATAATCCTCTTGTCCAGCGGTATCCCATAGCCCCAGATTTACAGGTTTGCTGTCAACCATCACGTTGGCGGAATAGTTATCAAACCTGAAATTCAGAGACAAAGGCCATGGCTCAAACAGCAGAAGACGGAGCTCTTCCAGTAGTGTAGGTGGGTTTTGCTAGGTGCATGCAGGAGAAAAGGGTAGCGATTCCTCTTCTCGGCTCACCTGGTTGATGCTGGTTACCTGTGAACCTGAACCTTACACACTTCCTACTCAGCATCAACCTCCTCCCCATCACCCAGCTGCCCTGGACAGGTGCCTGGCTGCAGCTCCGCATTTACCACCTTGTGTGCAGATCCATAAACCCTTCAGTTTCCCGCTTGTTTCTCTAGTATCCTTCCCACAACTGTGTCTGCTCTAGTCAAGCCCCTGTCTTTCTTTTATGCTCTAAAAACCAGCTTTCTTCTTAAGAGTGATGAAGAAGAACCCGTGTCTCTGTAGCTCCCCCAAACCCCTGCACTCCTCAACACCCCTGCTGGAATGGAGGCCGATATGCCAAGGTGTGTCCCCTTACTCTTCGACAGCCCAGCATGAAATATTTGAGAACAACTGTCAGGATTGCATGCTTGGGAGCAAAGGCTTAATGGAAAAAAAGGATGTTAAATCAATAGAGATGTTCTTCCCTTCGTCCTAGAAAATTTTATTTCCTGTTCCTTTTGTTTTGTTTTTTTTTTCAGGCTAAGGGGAGGGAAACCAGTGATAGGAAGGAACCAACACAAAGACCTTGTGATTGTGCTCACGGCATACGCCGCTGTTGCAAGATAAGCCATGCAGTCATAGAATGGAATAGAATCATAGAATCATTATGGTTGGAAGAGACCTCAAAGATCATCAAGTCCAACCGTACACCCGATGCCACCATGCCCACTAAACCCACTAAACCATGTCTTGAAGCGCCACATCTAAACGTTTTTTTGTCCAGGAGCACAGAATGGCCTCTTCAGACACAAGCCTCAGACAGGAGCAGAAATGGTGTGTGACACACAAAATGTGTAGCCACTTCATGGCTACATGCTAGGAAGGGATAGTGCCCTTCCACAAACCAGCTTCTGAAAAAAGATGGCTTCTTGCTGCCACAGCCATTTTTTGCAATGACCATTGCAAATTGGTCTGGAGAAAAAAGTGAGGCTCTGAGGTTTTCCCACACCTGTCCTTCCCGAGGAATCTGAACCTGAGCTGACAGTCTGACACACTGTGCCGAGCTCTTTTTCCCATCTCGAGGAGCGTGGAGTCATACTCCACATTCCAGCGGTGTGGTATGAGTACATGTGGTGTGCATCCCCAAACATATCCCCATGCACTGTGGGGAGACAAATGCATCTGACCACCCAAATTAAAGCAACCCTAAGCTTGCTCCTTGTACCAACAGTCTGCAGGTCTGTCCCAGCCTCACGCATACACCCACTGGACTGCATAGTGCTTCTCCTCTGGCTTTGAGCTGAATCCTGCACTCTTACCATCAGGGTTATCGGTGCCTGTTCCAATGACCGTGGGTGCCTTGGACAAGGAAGGAAGTGGGGACCCTTGTCCATCCAACCGCCTTCTCTTGGATCTGGCCCAATTTTTGTAGCCTGGTGCCTGGTTGTTTTGCCTAACAGGACCCCATCTACTACTTGTAAACTTAGCAAGCAGATAGACCTTTGGGTTGGTTTGTGTCTCCCAAATATCCCATTTATACCAGGGTTTTGTAAGGCCACTTGTGCTTCTGGTGAAAGGTAACAGATCCGAAACACAGAGGCACCTTTGCTGGTTTGGCAGCCCTTCCTCTGCTGGCACGAAGGTTACAACCCAGCCTTCAGAGTGCACAACAAGGGGTTTCTGCACCCCTTTGCATCCTGCTTTCCATGCCTCCCACCCGCCCCGTGACCTGTTTACGCATTACTCACACAGTGGGGATGTATTCTCCTGGGAAGGCATTGGTGGTGTAGCTGATAAGGAGGCAGGTTTTCCCCACAGCTCTGGAAGAGAAAAAAAAGATAGCGAGAAGTCATGGCAGTGCAGGCAGTCTCTCTAGGGTGAGATGGGGATGAGGCAATCCTTCCACACCTCTCAGGTAGCCCTGTCAGGAGATGCCTGGAAGCAGAAACACATTCACAGGACCAGACAGCGTATAACCGTAGGTTAGACAACTGGCAGGAAGAAAGACAGGATGTCGCCCAGAAATGTTTGTTGTCTTCAAGCACGAAAGTTTGTTTTTACGGTCTGGTACAGAGATCACTCAACTAAAACGCATCCACTCTGAGATGGAGTTGAGAGCCCGTTTTCCAGTGCATACGCTTACAGCCAAGGTAGATGTATTGATTCTGTACAGCAGTGCCAAGACAAAGCTGCCCAGCCAGCTACAGCCCCTGAACACAGACACTCCTGCCTGCTTCTGCAGGCGCGGTGGCCAGGGGCTGGTAGCACCTCTTCTTGACTTGGCCACAACACGTTCCAGTCTCGCCGGTCTGCAGCGAGCTGCAGCATCACCCGCAGAGAGAGCTGTAAGCAGCCAGCAAGGTGCCTCTCCCTGCAGCTGATGGAGGTTGCTGGTGGCATTTCTGAGCTAGAAGCTGGTGCTTCCTCCCTCCTCAGCCTGCCCCGCACCCATGCTGCAGGAGGGTGGAGCGAAAATAAGCCAGGGTAGCAGAACAATGCAGACTGGGTGAGAGCATTGATGTGAGGGAGGTGGGAAAGGGGACAGTAAGGCTATCAAGGGGAGGAGAAGGTGTCATGGGCAAGGTGAAGCCTGTGGTGGGGGAAAGAAGTGGAGAGAAACTGGAAGAAGATAAAGCAGTCAGGAAAGGTGTGGGAAGGAGAATCCTTCTCCTGATGGGCTGCTATTTCTCAGGTCTGTGTGGCCTGGGGAAGTGAGGCCATGTTTCAGTTACAGCATGTGTAAAATGGAGGTGGTGAGAGAGCAACCTGCCTCCTCAAGCTACGAGCACAGCCACAGGATGAGGGAGATGTCTTTCCCGGGGGAAAGGCTGGAGTCCTGCTGCTGGGGATGCTCCAGCCATCTCAGCTGTACCTGTGAAGTCCCCTGTCACAGAGCTGCAGCCCTGCCTTTTTGTGTGTCCTTGACAGGCACTGCTGGCATCTTCGCCCTGGCCATGAGGTACCTTCCTCGATCACTGCCCTGTGGGGCAGCTGAGGAGGAAACTGAGCTCTTCAGCATGCTCTGACACTTGTCTCTTCCTTCTGCCACCTCCCTTTCTTAGATCCTCCTCTCTCAGTCCCTTTTCTTTCCCCAGCTCCCTTGCTTCCCTGTTATCATAGAGATATTGAGGGAGGGCCATGTTCCTCTCTCAGTCCCTTCTCTTTCCCCAGCTCCCTTGCTTCCCTATTATCATAGAGATATTGAGGGAGGGCCATGGAGGCTTCCTGGAGCTCTGCAGATAATGGCTCAGGAGATCTACGGGACTGTGGGTGGGTCATTCATGGAAGGGAGGACGGTTCTGAATTAGGGTGGTTGAACAGAGGGGAGCACAAAGGGTCAGTGAAGGGCTGAAGGTTACAACAAAGCTATTGAGAGAAGAAGTGAGGTTAGTGGCACCTGCAGGTTCCTGAGACTGAATTCAGGGGGTGTTAAGAGGTTGGTGATGTGTGATGGAGGGGACTACGGGGCAACATGAGGGTCTTAGCTGAGCGACAGCAGAAGGTCCTGTGGTTGGTAAGGTTGAGCTAAGGGAGAGTGACATGGCTGGTATGGCTGGGAGGGAGGTGAAGGGTGGTGAACCAAGAGCTAAGAGCGATGGGGGGGATGACTGAACTGCTGTGCTGCAAGATGTGAAGAGAGGAGGTGCCGTGTACAGAGGAACAAAATGATGGGACAGAAGACATTTAAAAGGAGTTGAGGTCAGAGGGGTTGAAAGCAGGATGTGTTGGGGGGTTAGCCACGATGTGAGGGGAATGCTGCCTTGAGGGATGGCTACAGAGTTGGTGCACGATGTGAGGGGGAAACTGGCAGGTTAACAGGGCAACAGATAAATGCCCAGTGGAGTTGTTCATCCACCTCTAGCTTGCAGTCTTCAGGGGACTTTTCTTAGCAGTATCGTTTTTCATTTGGGGCTCTGTCCTTCCTTGTCCCTTCTCCCTGTCCCCTTGCCGCAGACCCTGAGAATATGTCTAACACGTACTGTTGTGTTTGCAGACACTTTGTTCCCCGGGCGAGTTTTGAAGGAGGAAGTGACTGTGGGGAGCAGAGCTGCTGCAAATGTCTCTTCATCTGCTACCTGATAGCTGCCCCAGATAACAGTCTGGCCAGCTCCTAGCTGGGAAATGAGTTAACCTACTCTGTACCAAACGTGGACTCTCCTCCTCTCCCTCCCCTGCATCTACTCAACCCACAGGGCAAGAAGTCCACCCTATCCCTCCCGCTCCCAGCAGTGCTGGCTGCTTCACTTATTGATGGCTTAGGTCGGGCCATTGCCAGGGATCACGGGACATGGGCAGTGATGCCATCATGCTATGAAGGCAAGGTTGTGTTATCTCACACTTCCAAAATGTATTATACTTGTGCCTGTCTCAGTGGGAAGAGCTCCTCCTCCTTGTGCCTGCGGAAACCCCTTACCAGTCTCCCCCACACCCCAATACAAAGGTAATGTGCCCAGAAAAGCTGAAGACAGAGATGCTGGTGGACATCTCATGAGGACCATAGTGCCGTACCCTCTCCCAGTCAGTCCCAGTGAGCAGATGGCTTTCAAGGAGACGTTCACCTGCAGGAAAGCACTTGCATCTCTCGGGTTTTAGATCTGACTCCTGCCTACATGTTGAATCTGGCAGCTACACCACCACCTCCTGTGCGTGGGACAGACCTGCTCCACTTTCCATGCCCCTTTTGCAGATGCCCTTCAAAATGCCCTCTTCCACACAATCACCAGAGGAAGGTCCCTTGCCCTGGGGAGGGAAGAGCGAGCAAGAGAGGGGACGCAGTCTGCAGGAGGTCAGAAGCAAAGCTGGGGAAGTTTCACCAAGCAGCCACCTTCTTTCTTGCCCCTTGTCACTGCCCTTCCCTCCCCACATCCACAGCAAACCAGGGGGGTACCTACCCGTCTCCCACCACGACACACTTGATGGCTTGCATGTCTCTGGACCCGTGGCGGAGGACAGTGCCCGGGGCAAAGGGACGTCAGGCCAAGGCAAACAGCGGGGAGAGACTGGCAAATTTGGGTATCAGCCCTTGTGCTGCAGTGAGCGGCAGGTTGCAGGGGAGGAGGAAGTGGAAGAGGGAACTTTACTTGATGATCACCCTCTGGTCCCTCCTCCCCTCCCACCAACAGCAGCAGCTCTGCGGCCGAGGCCGTTAGCTGAAGGCGGGGCATGCATGACTTCATGCTTGGGATGATGACTGCTCTAATTTTTTTAATATTTTTTTTTCCCCCGTGTGTCTCACCCACTCCCTCCCCACACCATCCCAGTGAACAGCTGAGGGCACCAAATTGCTTTTACAGGGGAGCTGAACAAAGGTTAGAAGTGGGGTGAGAAAGTGGAGGGGTGGATTTCCTCCTCCCTCCTTTATCATCCACATTTTGGAGGAGGTGTAAGCAGGGAAGGGAATCTGAAATGGGAGTAGTGGGATGACGTGGGGCAATGGAGATTTTTCAGGTCTTCCCAGTGCCCCTGAGTGTCGATGGCAAAATGTCACAAGGAGCAATGTTTTCTGTGAAGGCTGAACAAAGAAGTTAAGCAGCTTCTAGGAAGCAGCAGCCACCCCATGGCTGCTCTATCCCTCCTCTCCCATGGTGATAAGGTCCTGCCACACTTCCCCACCTGCCCAGATTACTACTACAGAGAAGTATTGTGTGAACCTGTGTGTTCACCATGAAGTGGAGCAAATGCATCAAGGAATGCAATAAACTGTTTTTTCTCCCCTGCTGGTAATATGAGAGCCAGGGCTGGTGGATGAGAGGAGTCCCTGCAAACCAGCTTCTTCCTATCCACCCTCTCCCCTACTTCTGCGCAAAAGCAGCCAGTGGGAGCTGCTGCCAGATCTCTTCCATCTTGTCACAGAATCATAGAATCACAGAATGGTTTGAGTTGGAAGGGATCTTTAAGGGCCATCTAGTCCAACCCCCCCTGCAATGAGCAGGGACATCTTCAACTAGATCTGGTTGCTCAAAGCCCCATCCAACCTGACCTTGAATGTTTCCAGGGGTGGGGCATCTGCCACCTCTCTGGGCAACCTGTTCCAGTTTTTCACCACCCTCATTGTAAAAAATCTCTTCCTTATATCTAGTCTAAATCTACCCTTTTTTACTTTAAAAACATAACCCCTTGTCCTGTTGCTGCAGGCCCTATTAAAAAGTCTGTCCTCATCTTTCTTATAAGGCCCCTTTATGTATTGAAAGGCCACAGTGAAGTGTCCCCAGACCCTTCTCTTCTCCAGGCTAAACAACTCCAGCTCTCTCAGCCTGTCCTCATTGTCCTCAGAAGATAAAAGAATTTTAGAGCTAAGCAGCAAGGAGAAGAAGGAAGCAATCGCCCTAAGAAAGGAGAGACAAGGAGCAAAAAGATCCCAGGAGGCTCTACTCCTTCCTTTCCCTTCTTGAAATGAGGGTTGGCCTCCTTTTCCTTCCTTCTCCTCCCATGCAACGCTAAGCCTAGAAAAGAGCATATTTGTGCACATCTGTGTGCTGCAGCCTGGACTGATGAGTGGATGGGCAGGAGATGCATTTTATAGAAGAAGAGATGTGATGACACAGAATTAATTAGAATTTCCAGGCTTTGTCAGGAGGTCAGTTAGACAAAGAACAGTGGGTTTTCAGCTGGGATGTGCCTGAAGGAAGGAACTTTGAGGGAAGGTGTTTCTCCAAAGGTTGGTGACCTTTGTGCTGCTGCAGCCGTGGGAGGTTGTTGCAACTGACCTGCTTGGGAGGAAAGCTCTCCCATCCATCACTCAGCGCTGGCTGCAACCCAGAAACCTTCAACTGTGGAGAGTTTCCAAGTCTTGTGGCTATTTCAGAAGCACAAAGCGACCAGCTGTACTAGGTGTTCCCTCTGTGGGTGGTAGGGGGGGAAGGAAACCCACTGACTCCTCTGGAAGTGAGAGCAGGAACAGGCCATAGGAATACAGGTCAGAGAAGGACAGAAGGGAGAGTGACCAAGGCTCTTACAGGGAGGAGCTGGCGGAGAGGGCAGGCACAGAATATGGAGGGCTTGGGGACAGGACTCAGTCAGAAGAGAAGGCAGATATATCTGGCTCTAGAGAATCCTACTGGTGGATGGAGAAAAGCCATTACAGCTCCCTGGGCAGTTGGACACATTGAGAGCTCTCTGTGGGAGACATCTGGGTGGCAAGTGAGGACGTAGGGAGCTGGAGCTGGTGGAGTCCTACAGACTCTTTGGGGAGCTTTCGGTTGGGCAGGCAGCCTGTGGCAGGCAAGCAGGAAACTAAGCCATTTCTGGGCATTGTTGAAACTGCATTTGGAATCAGCTTCTCCGCAGTTGAACATATTGAGAGCTCTCTGTGGGAGACATCTGAGTGGCAAGTGAGGATGTAGGGAGCTGGAGCTGGTGGAGTCTGTAGGGATTTGGGGAGCTCTTGGTTGGGCAGGCAGCCTATGGCAGGCAAGCAGGAAACTAAGCCATTTCTGGGAATTGTTGAAACTGCATTTGGAATCAGATTCTCCAAAGGAACATTTCCATTTTGACCAGATCTTTTCTCTAAAGGTTTCCAATAACCCTTATGTGCCTGGGGAGAAGCAGGGTGGGAAGAACAGAGAGCGAACACCTGGGGTGGGAAGGATGGGGACTGAGGGGAAAAAGCTGAGGAGAACTGAAGAATATGTTGAGTCTTACCTGGGATGGAGTAACAGCCATGTGAGCATACTGGGGCTAGGGATGGGATTCAGGCTAAAGGAGACTGGATGGAAAACTGGCCAGTGGCACAGTAGGACCTGGTGGCAGGGACACACAAGGACTACTGACCTGCTGAATGCCAGTGTGTGATTTTGTCCTTGTAGTCTGCTATATGGAGTGGTGGGACTGGCAGTGTGGAAGGGACTGGGGAAGAAGACAAATTAAAACTGGTCAGGGAGGAGGGACTGTTGTTGAGACCCCATGTCCAGGTGAGCCCCATGTCAAAGACACCGTAGTTCTGTATGGCCAACAATGAACTGTGGAAGTCCTGGCAAGAAGTGCATCTCCAACACACTTCTGGGCAAATTACTTTTGGAAGATAATTGCCTGCTACTGCTATGGGTAGTCAGTTGTTGTCCAAGTCAGAGGTCTGTGCTGTGAATCTATAAACATCCCTCCTCCGCCAATGCCTCTGTAGAGGGATGATGGGGATCTATAAAAAGGCTTTTAGGGTTTTTCTTTCCATCATGTTTAAATCACTAAAAATGGGATATTACATTCAAATAACACATTGTAATCATTCTGAGAACAACTGGCACCCACCACATTAAAACCTCTCGGTTGTGTGTGCTGCAGGAAAGGGAAGGAAACTGCAGGAAACAGCCCCGTAACCCCTGAGCACACACTGATCTATTGCTGCGTTGATGTCCTCTTGTGCCACCAAGAGGTGCTCTTGACATGAGTTTCCTTCTGCATGTGCAACAGGGCTGAGGGAAGGCAAGCATCCATCAGGGGTTTCTTGTTCCCCTTGCTGAGTTTGAGGAAGATGCTAATGGGAAAGAATTGCTCAGTGAGACAGTTTTACTCTGAGAGACTTCCAGGGCCCCAGACTGGGACACCTCCAAGTGACCCATCTGCTCTGGCACCCGTGTGGGATGATGGGCAAGGGAGGAAATGCATGATACCATTTTTCCCCCCACAAGGATCCAAAGCAATGAGAACCGCTCCATCTCTCCCCCTCTTTCTGTGGGGTTCTGCTCCCTCAAGGAGAATGGGAAAAGGGTGAGGGGGCTCATTCAGAAATGTCGTTTGCACATCACAGCCCTGCACAGGAGGGCAGGAGCTGAGCAGGAGGCTTGTCCTTCAGCGCAGACAGAGTAGTAAGGGGAAGCCTTTCCTGGGGGAACACAAGGCTTGTGTCTTTGTGCACATGGGACATGGACACGGCAGGTATTCTCATTACCCTGGGCCCTGACAGGTTTTATTTTACATGAGCTGTCCTTCAGGCAATCCCGAGTGGCCATGAGATCTTTCCTGTGTGTGTTGGGTCCCCACCAGGGAAGAAAGCAATTTGCTTCAGCCTAGCTGGGCTGCAAGCTCTCCCCACTTGCTATATTCCCCTTTTGCGTCTTCCCACTTCCCCATTCACACAGCTCCGTACCATCTGCCTCCTGCTTTTAGTTCTTGCTTTGCTGCTTCTCTTCTCCAGAACTCCCACCCCTCCCTGTTGCTGCCCCCCTCTCCCCCCACCGCTGTGGTTTCTCGCTGACTGCCACGCTTGTTTGAAAAGCCTGCCCTGAATTCAAAGATCAGATCATGACCAAAGTGGGGCCGTGCACCTCAGGCCGTGATGTTCTGCAGTCCCTATTAGAGAGGTTGTGGAGTTGCTTCATACAGACTCTGTTTTCCAACACGGCCATACCAAGGGCTTCTCTAGCCTAAATTTACCCTGTCAAGCAAAAGCTTAGAAAAAAAATGAAGTTTCCAACCCAGCCTCACTGAACACCAACTACCTACACTCACAACGTAACTCATAAGCAACTCAACTTGCAAATGGTTTTTATTGAGGCTTGGAGCTGTCTTACCCACGGCCTTTTCTGGAGCCCAGCTCTACTGCAATCAGGGACAGGTAGTCCATTCCCGATACACTGTGTCATGGAGGCTCCTCTATCTTCAGAGTGTGACTGCTCTCAGCCTTTCCAGTTTGGGGCAAAATAGCACGTCCACTGCCATCCTCCTGTCTGGAACACTGAAAGAGGTTCACCTCTTCTACCTCTTCTCCACTATGTACCTGGGTAAGCAGAAGACCATGGCACAGACCTTTGGGCATCTAGTTCTTGGTGGTGGCCGATTCGTGCTTGCGCTTCCCTCAGTTGAGAAGTTGTTTGCAGACTAAATCATACTGGTTTTTTATGGCTTGGCTTTATCTGGTTCTCTGTACTTCTGCAAATCCGCAGTGATTCTGGTATGGGTTTCCATTCTTACAGACATTTTGTTCTCAGCCAGTGACAACCCCCATCTCTCTAATACCATTCTGTTACTTAATGGTGATAAATACAGATCAATATATGACCACTCATCCTTTCCCATGAGGTGCTCAGGTGGTTCAACGACATTTTTCAGCTGCCTGTTGTAAAGGGGAGGTAACAGGGACTGGAGGTTAAACATGTAAATTCTAACTTGA